ATTATCATTTAAGCAAAGAAATAAAAGTGTGAGCGCAAAATTTTAAAATCTTTCGGGAAAAAAAAATGAGTGGAATTCCCTTTAAGAGTTAACTCTTTCCCGCCCTGCCTTTTTAGAGCAAAGGAAGTTCCAGTGGGCTGGGATTAAGGGACAGATTGTGGACCCTGACGAAAGGCGTGCTGGAGAAAGCTGGGAGCCCGCGGTTTGCACACAAAGCTGCGGAGTTCCCAAGCGGCGGGCGTTGTTGCCCCGGGGTTCCGCGAAGCGCCAGGAAGCGCCCTGGGCTCACCTCTCTGCTGGTGGCCGGGAGAAGTTAGTCACCCGGAGCCCGAATCCGGCGAGCGTCAAAGCACTAAGAGGCTGGAGAATGGGGAGGGAGGAAACCGGGTGCCGGGACGGAGGGGAGGAAGCGAAGGGAACGCGGTGGGTAGGGGACGCATGTGAAGCTGAAAATCTCTGGCTGGTGGAGTTGCACGATCTGCGAGGTCAGAGCGCACGGGTGTGCAAAGAGGAAAAACTTGCGGCAGGAACTTCCCACCGAGGGCGAGGAAAGCAGGAAAGAAGGAGGCAGGGAGAGACTTGAAACGTCTCAATAACTTTAAAAACACACCAGAACACCCGTTCAGGAGATGAGGTAAGCCAAGGTTAGCCAACCCCAAATGGTTGTGAAATATCAGACAGACCCGGAGCCGCTGTGGCTTTAAAAGTGGCCAAGGAAATCTGTTTTTCTTGCCCCATTACTTTTTTTCCCCCTCGTCCCTCCTTCCACCTCGCCGGGTCCCAGTCCCTTTCTCCTACTTCGTCTCCCTTTCCTCGATCACCCTCCTCTTTTGCCCTCCCCCATCTGATTAGGCGCGGTCTGGGAAGGGTGGGAGTGGTGGGGGAAGCTCTCCCTTTAAGAGGCAGCGTGCAGTGACGAATTGTTGAAATTGCCATTGCAGGATGGCATGCCGCTATAAATTCATTGTTCCACCTCCTCGCATCTTCACAGCGCTCGCGCTGCTCTCGGCGCTCGCAGCGGCCGACTGGGGATGACGGCGGGCAGGAAGACACCGCAGCCGAAGGGACACAGACACGCCGCTTCACCAGCTCTCCTCAGGCTGCCCCCTGCATTTTTGTTTTAATTTTTATGGCTTTTTCCCGTCTCTTTCTTCCCTTCCTCCTGGTCCCAGCAGAGCCAAGGAAACCCACAAAATAAGAAAGGAAGTGGGCCCCGGAGCTTGGAACCTCCGCAGCCGGCTTGTCCAGCGCAGCGCGGGGGCGGGAGGCTGCGCGCACCAGTTGTTGCCAACCCGGTGCGCTGTACCTTTCCTTACTTTTCTTGGAACAGCGATCGTGCCTGCATTTGGTGGTTTTTTGGTTTTTGTTTTTTTCCTTTTCCCTTATTTGCTGAATCTCCACTATCCGACTTTTTTTTTTTCTTTAATCTTTTTTTTTTTTTTTTTTTTTCCTCCT